TCATAAAAAAAGACATTGACTGAAAAATATAAAACAGTACTGCATACTAAATATTCGAATGACCAAGTCACCAAAAACACTGAATTTAAATTGGTGCTTAATTGGTAACCCTAAATTTGCACTGGCGATCAGTGGCAACATTTATTTCAGATCACAGCAGATCCACCGTGGCGGTCTGCATGTGCTAGTCGGTCACGCAGGGAAGACTACAAGGATCCTTAGTCATCCAGCATGTCGCCCCGGTGACACTTGCTAGAAGAAACAGCGAACAAAAATGGAGGAAAAGAAAAAAATCTCCAGAGAAACATTTTTAGCTCCTTACGCTAGGCACCGCCACCAGCAGGGGCGAAATAGGATTTTTGTACTCACCATAAAATCCTTTTCTCTCCGCTCATTGAAGGGCACAGGTCCCGCCCTCTATATTGGGGTGTGCACTCCTAACTGCTTGTTACTTACTGGAGACTTGTCAGCAGGTTGGGGGTTTGGCCACCAGCAGGGGCCGCCCCTAGGCTGGCTTTGTCTTTTGTTATGTGCCTAGCGTCCTACTCCTGCAGGTGGCGATATACCCTGCCATACAGGATCTATGATCTGTTGCCCTGTGTCCTTCAATGAACGGGACAGAAAATGCAACAACAGCTTTGAGACCATAATATGAGCAGGGAAAGACATATCTTGGGAATTCCTGCCAGAAGTATGAAGAGCCCCCATACAAGCAAGCCATGTTTTAATTTGCATGCCTGTTATAGTCTCCAAGATAAGAGTAAAAGTAGAGGTAATATACCATCCATGCACTATTAATTATGTCTAGATGTAAAATCCACACAACAAAATATACCTACCATAATAATTGGGTAATGGACCAATACAGAAACTCTCCTTCCGTGAATCCCTGCCTTCTTCCTTTATTGTGGGTAATATTTTTGTCTGGAGGAATTCTATGCATTGTTATCATAAAAAAACAACAACAGCAGAGCAGTAATTGCCATGTCATTGAAAGAGGTTGCAATTGTTTATTTATGTAGAACAAAGTGGTTACTCACATTCATTTAAGGGAACTGGGTTTTGTGCATATTTTTGGCTTTACAACATACATGCTTTACATTAAACCTCCACAATGATGAAGAACGTGTGACTCAAGGTCTTTTGAGAATCACAAATTTAATTATTTCAAGTTGTTAGTTGCTAATGTAAAATATTTGCTTCAAAGATCATACTCCAGCCAAAACCTTAATTTTTTCTAGTTTTCGATTGCGTGTGAAAAGATAAAAACCTCTTTGTTTTTATTGCTGTGTCTCTGTTGGGCATATTTTCATTCACTTTGTCTCTTTGATGGGGGTCTGATGGAACAGGAAATTGGAAATATCCCCAAAGGGAAATGAGACAGGATTTATAAGCAGACCAAAGTTTTAAACTAATCCCTCTCTATACAGAAATGAATTGTAGTTAGTTTGGCTTTATTGGAGGGGACAGTCTATGGTTTCTACTACTGCATTCTACGTATAATTGTGTGTATGTGGGAATATTTCACCAGGTAAGTAAGTATGGCTTACAGAGGTGTCAATAGTCACTGACACTTTCATTATTGGATGAATGTAAAATATTTCAAGAAATATCTGTTTACTGTCAGTAACTGTACAGTGCATTACCAATGCCCTTTGCACTGTACAAGTACATACACCGTATTTTTCCGTGTATAAGACACTACTTTTCATAAAAATCTTTATCTAAAAATAGAGGTGCGTCTTATACACGGGGGCCGCGGTTTTGAAAGTGCTGATACCACTGCAAACTAGCCTCACGGATTGCAGAGACAAGATAACAGTTCTCCTCCAGTCATAAATCTTTTGAACCTGACGTCAGCTGTTGCTGGGGAGATCGTGTAGGCAGTGCCCAGAGCGGTAATGTCGGAGCATTCTGTGACCATAAAAATGTCAGAAAGTGAAAAACAACCTGTAAACTCTCTAAACTCATGGTATGGTGTCAAACAAGAGGTGATTGTGAAGTCCTTCAAGAAATGTGGAATCAGCAATGCCATGGACGGAACTGAGGATGATCTTGTATATATAGACAGTGACTCAGCAGACAGCAGTGATGCAGCAGAAGTTGAAGAAACTGATATGTTTGAAGCTAAAAGTGATGAAGAAACCAGTGATGCAACAGAGGCTGAATAAAGTGATTGGCTCAGAGGTAAGTGTGATGCATAATATCATCATTTAAAATATTGATTTCTGAATTTTGGGTAAGAAAAGTAGGGGACGTCTTATACATGGGGGCGTCTTATAGACGGAAAAATACGGTAATACTACTGATGTAGTGTGGACTGATCCCTTAACTGTTTCGGGAAATGTATACATTCTGCTCTAATGACGACAACTTTATCATGTTAAAGATACATTTCCTGATAAAACCAACAGTGGAGAGGGGCTCCTTCTGCACTGCCAGGGTTAAATGCTATTTTATGTCTAGGGGAACATTAAAAAGCAGTTTTTACTTGCTTTATCCCTCACTCCTTTGGCACACGGCGCTCTCTTCTCTCTGATGCTTCAAATAGTGGACGGGCCCTTGGTGTCCTCACTTACAATGCAGGACTGAAGGTCCAGCATTATCCGTGATATCCTTAGAGTGCCTGTGACCCCAGAGCGGTGAAGAGAACTGGTCATATTGCTGGGAGAAAGCCTGCAGGACTAAGGGATAAGATAAATAAAACTGCTTTTTTAGGTTCCCCTAGACATAAAAAAGAAGTTAACCCTTGCAGTGTGGGGGGAGCTCTTTTGCATGAAGACCTTTGAATTTCACCCAGAGTTTCAGCTTTAATGTTAGTAGAGCCTCGATCCTAAACATTTATTTTGTATTTTTGTTTGGATAGCGGGGGTAAAGGTTAGAGCCAGTGGCGGACAAGGTCAGCAAGGGGCCCCTGTGTAGAAATGATATTTGGGCTGCAATTATTACTATTGTAATGGTAAGTAACATACAGTATGTATTACAGCTCAATGAATTGGGGGATAAAATAATGATAAGATAAGAAACTTTAATACCAAGTTTGTTAATTGAAATTTTTAAGATAAAATTATCATGAGTTTAAATAGCAAATAGAGTTAAAATAACTCATCTGTCTTAGTGAACTTAGCCTGTAAATTGCACTGTAATAGCAAGTTCTATCAATCAGTAACTGCATGTTATATAACCCAGCAAGGACATAGACGTCAATAACACTAGACTGGTTTACTAAAGGAGTTGAGAATCTTCACACAATAAATTGTGTGAATATTCAATTCCATTATCCAATCATGTGAAAAGCAACTTCCTGTCTACTTACTTCATGTGCACATGATTGGGTATTTGAATGTATTCAAAGTGAATGGGAATTAGCTTTTCACTTAATGGGATAATTAAAGTGAAAACTCACAAATTTATTGTGTGCAGATTCTCAACTCCTTTACTAAATCAGCCTCATTATACCATCCAGCAAAACCATAGGCTCCAAAAGCAATTTATATCAACCAAATCCTTATTTAGCCACTACCACCCACCTAGTGGGCTGTTGGAAGAAAACCCACCTCAAATTCATCCAGGAAATTTAGACCCCGCGCTGATTAAAGTTCCTCAGGCACACTGGCATTCAGTGAAGAATCCCCTATAAAAGGCTAATTTACACAGACCACCAATGTAAAAGACAGTACAGCACAGGGCATGGAGTGCTAGGTGCACTGGTGTGTCGCGTTGTTACCATTTATTCTAACTGGCACCCCAACAAGCGAGCAATGAAGTGAAATGTCAAGTACAACAATAACGAACGTTGCATTGTCCTTCAGTGATAAAAAAAAGTTTTTGCATGACCTTTTTCCAGTGTATATTACCTTGTTACATTGGTGGCCAGTATAAATTACCCTTTTTCATTGGAGGTCAGTATTATTTCCCCTTTGTTGTTGGCACAAATACCTTTATCACACTGGTGTTCAGGGGCAGTGAAGTGCCCCTAATTATTGGTTTTTAGTGAGTAAAGAGCCCCCATCCATTGGTGGTCAGTAGTTACTTCTCATTAAACCTACATCCTTTGTGCCAGAACTATGAAGTACCATCAGTGACTGCCCACATGCCATGAACCTGGCCATGTTTTCATGCCCTAAAAGTACCCTAGCCATCATCTGGTCCCCAAGACTCTGGGGCCCGTTATGGCCAGGGACAGCCCCTTATGGGCCACATGACTTTAGAGGCCCATATGTGCCTGCACAGGCTGCAATGCTAATATGTCCACCACTAGCTAGAGCAACTGTAAGGATTTTATTGCTGCCTGTGTCCCTTTCAGGAAGACTTCTCGTCCATCACTTTTTGTTATGTCATTGCGACAGAAGTAAAGAAAAATCATTTCAACAGGGAACAGAAGACATAAAAGCACATTTTAGTAGGGAAAGGTTTTTACTGATGTCTGGACAGGTTCTCTTCACTTTTTAGTCACAGTGACATGACAATCAAGGAGTGACAATCCCCCCAATGTGGATGGCAGTAAAACCTTTACAGAACTTCTAACCTTTCCCCTACACTATTAAAATATGTTTTATTTCAGTCTGGGTTCCCTTTTGCAGATTCCACGCCATGTCAAGGTTCTAACCCTTAACCACTCAAAAACTAAAAATGACAAAGTTTTGGCTGGAGTTACACTTTAATGCTCATAAGTATAAACACCAAGGTTGATATAGACACATACAAAAGATCTGAATGTCACTAAAATATGGTTGAATAACAAGAATTGTTTACATAAAAAAATCACAGAAAACTAAAACAATTTATAAAAGTAAAAAAGGCACTTGACTGCAAATTGCAGTCTCAGCTCCCAACACTTTGATAAGTGCTAATGTGATTGGTTTCCCTGAAAATAAATTATGTCATTGTCTTGTACTCTGTATTACATCGGAGGCTCCAGATTCTAAATCCAAGTGGGAATGTTGATGTGTTGTTGACGTTTCTCAAGGCACAATATACTTTATACATTAGTATACCTGTCGACAGAACAGATATACTGATATACTAGGAAGGTCATCTTAATGGTCAAGAGATGTAAGGACTGACCCAGTTATAGCAGCTTGAACTGATTGTAGAATAGATGGACTGAGCAAGGTCTATGTGGGAGTCTAGCCTTATAAGCAAATATTTCCAGTTGTCCATAATAACCATAGAAGTATCTTGCTTACGTAGAGAAAGGCAAAGATATTATAATTTTGAACTCATTAAAATCATGCCATTTTTTATTTCGTCTGATTTTTCATCTGAATCTATATGGAATTTTCTTTTGCAACATAACCTAGAAGAAAAAAATAATAATAATGAATATTTTCAATAATAGTACAAAATCACACTATGTACAGGTGGTCATCTCTGCCCCTTATCACTTTTCTTTCTGCTAGCAAGCACATGGAAGAGGGACATAAACAATTTATAAATTGTACATAGAACTTAAAAGGGTTAGTACAGCTGATATTTCAGCTACTATGGGGTCTATTCACAAAGCTGCCAAAGGATCTAGCCGTAGCTTCGGCCGATCCTTCGGCTGGCTTCATCCCCAGGACCCCTTCGGTTCAGTAGAACCGAAGGGGTGCTGTACGGGCTATTCACAATAGCCCGTACAGCTCCCGATCACGGCCGAGCGGCTCAGTCGAGCCGAATGCATATGCATCGGCTAAGCCACGCTGAAAGCCGAAGCTGGCCGAGCGGTGGGCCATTGGCCGGCAGCCTGCTTCTGACAGCTGGGCGGAGCCAGCCGTGATCTTACGGCTGGCTCCGGCCACTTGCAGAGAGATCAGCGTCCCTGGTTACCTGCTAACCAGGGACACTGATCTCCAAACAGCAAACTCTCCCTGGCGCCCCGGGAGTCTCCTGCTCCCTGCCGCCAAGGAGAGTAACACTGCTGTTTATTCTTTTTTTTCTTTATTCTGACACGGAGCGATGTCAGAATAGAAAAAAAAAAATCCCATTGGAATGCATTGGTACATTCCTATTGGCTATTTCAATTTGCAATAGCCAATAGTAAACTAGCATTGTACCCGCCCTCTGCTGCAGTTCTCCATCAGGTCCATCGGCAGAGGACGGGTACAATGCTAGTTTACTATTGGCTATTGCAAATTGAAATAGCCAATAGGAATGTAGCAATGCATTCCAATGGGATTTTTTTTTCTATTCTGTCATCACTCCGTGTCAGAATAATGAAAAAAAAAGACACAGCAGTGTTTCTCTCCTGGGCGGCCGGGAGCGGGAGGCTCCGAGAGCGCCCGGGAGAATTTTGTTTTCCGTTTTTTTTTAGGGCAGCAGAGCCGCTGGACAATAGAAAACTATTGGGCGGAGCTGCTGTCACTGCTAGCTCTGCACAATCGTTTTCTATTTACTTTTTTAACTATTTTTCTGTTCTGCTCGGTCCCTCTGTTCGGCTCACTTCACTTGGGGTCGGTTGTTCAGTCGGCTGCACTCGGCAGCTTAGTGAATAGACCCGTATGTGTTTATTCAGTGCTGGAGTAGAAGCTGTTCACCTTTCCTTCCTTCCTCCTCCGCAGCTGACACAGAAATGATTTGTTTCAGTGACCCAGGTGAACGGTGATGACACTAGACCTGTTAAGTCTACCAGAAAACTCAGGACTCAACCAATTTATCAGAGTGGTCTCTAGGGAGACTGACCAGATCTCCTGCTGTCTTCTGATGCCCTGCTCAGCACCAGGCTTTGGAGCATGCGCAGTGCACAAAGTCTGCAAGTCTTGCAATGCTTCCATTTCTCGGCACAATATGTTCAGCACATGTACTCACTACTGTAGTGCAACCCTCTGTCCACCATATTAGTATTGAGCAGTGCCGTCATCTTTGCATCTCCCCCTGACCTGGCTATGGCTCTCCCTGTCAAGGGGTGCACAGATGAGCAGTGGCATAGAAGAGGGGGTGCAGAGGTGAGTGGTGGCAGAAGAGGGGGTGCAGAGGTAAGTGGTGGTGAAGGAGGGGTGCAAAGGTGAGTGGTGGTGGACAATGGGTGCAGAGGTAAGCTGTGGTAGAAGAGAGGGTGCAAAGATAAGCGGTAGAAAAAAAGAGGGTGTCTTAGTAACAGAAAGGTAGATGGACTCCTTATGGCTGTGTGCATGTAGCTTTACTGAGTGTCCTGCAAGTAGCAAAATGATGTGGATCTTGGAGAATATGCAGGTGGAGGGAAGGGTTTTTACATCTTTTTTTTTCCAATTCTTTATTTAACAGTCAAAATCCGCCAAGATACATACAGCTTCATGTCAGAACTGAGTAAGGTATAATGAAGAGAAAATGGATATGACAACTTGTAAAGGTCTGAATGTAATAAGCAATATATATGATTTACAATGAACAAGAACTTTAACATAGACAGGTGGATTCATTATGTAATGGAGCTGAGTAGAAGTTGATTTAAGGGTTTTTACATCTTAATGCTGCTGAAGTCCTGCCTTTCCATGTGCACTACAGACATAACAGGCTGCATGTGTTGTTTCCTATAGCATATTTCTTTATTTTTGCTGCATGCAATTGTTTTTTTTCAGAGATTGCCCCTCACCACATGCACAACACTGATAATAGGCTGTATGTTTTTCGAAGGGCATATTTCCTAATTGTTGCTGGCTGCAATTTTCTTACAGCCTTTTCCTGTCCACATGCACTATATGGATAACAGACTGCATGCATTTTTTTTACAGGGCATATTTCCAAAGTTTTGTTTGCTGTAATTGTTTTGTAACAGGTTAAAACAGTGTAATATTTCGAGACAATGTGCATTAGCACAGAAGCATATTTTTTATTGGGGATATCATGAGAGATGTATCTACTGCTGCTGCTCCAGAAAACCATATACAGTGACTGGCTGCAGGTGGATACAGACATATGAACTGCACTCAATAGTTTTTTTTATGCTCTACTACAACAGACTTTAGTGGTACCAGATAGGTTAGACAGACTTTCTCTCCCTCATCAGTCGTGAGTTGATCTGGTAACGTGTTTCACCTAATGGGCATAATCATATTTGGTGGGTGAGTCAAGGGGGGTAGGAATCTATATACTGCATCCTATCTCTCACAATGCCACAATTTTAAAGCTGCATTGTCAGTCTTACAGTAACGATCTTAAAGCAGCAACACATTAGGTGATGTCTATTACAATTATATCATCAAACTACCGTATATTACAATATCCTAAATACAGCTGGGCAATAATCTCAAGAACGGAGTACATAAATATAGCCTATGTTGCAACTTCTTATGACAAAATTGTCCCAATCAAAATAACTTATTATAAAAATGATATCCACTTCCTCTCTATTTAGTTATGCTTCTCATCTGATTCTAGATCCAACTCTTCCCTCCAAATGCAGCCTAGACCCCCTAAATCCCCTTTGCCTCTTTCACCTTCCCCTCTCTTCTAACGTCTTTACTCCCTATTGCCTCTCACCCAATGGTGCCTTTTCTAAACCTTATGTGGACTCTTCTCCTCTCCTCACTCACATGCGCTCTGCTCCCTGAAAACAATTGGCCTTGCCTACCTACATACAGGTGAAACTTGAATAATTAGAATATCGTGCAAAAGTAATGGCAGTAAGTGCTGCAAAAGGGGCCCAAACCAAGTACTGAGTACATATGCATGCTTGTACTTTTCAGAGGTCCGATATTGTTCTATGTACAATCCTTGTTTTATTGATTGCATGTAATAATCTACTTTTTTGAGGTTGTGGATTTGGGGTTCTTGGGGTTTTCATGAGCTGTAAGCCATAATCATCACAATTATGACAAATCACGGCTTGAATTATCTTGCTTTGCATGTAATGAGTCTCTCTCATATATTAGTTTCATCTTTTAAGTTGCATTAGTGAAATAAATGAACTTTGCACGATATTCTAATTATTCGAGTTTCACCTGTACTATGTGGATAGACGACCAAGTGATCATTAGCGTGTTGGCAGATAGGTCAGGCCAACTTACGAGCATCATTTAGATGTATATTTTTACTGGGATCAAGTATCTGTAGCCACCCTCTATTTATGCTTCCTTGTATACTCATTCTAATACGGTGGGTAATAGTAGTTGGACACACCAAGGTCAACCTTATGTATTTGGTATTTCACCTTGTGCACTTGCACTATTACTTCTGCTTTGATGTGCTGTAATTTTATACTACTGTTCCTGTTATTGGTCCTTTTTTCGATAAAAAATTTAAAAGAGAATTGAATTCGCTGAGCTCCTGAGAGCCACCCGTTCTTTCACATATGTTTGTAGAAGCAGTCTGCATACCTAGGAGCTTGATTTTATACATCTGTGGCCATGGAGGGGATTGGAACACCTGAATCCAATGATTTATATGTATACAAATATACATTAATCGTAAAAGTAGGAATCATCCCGCTCTAATGTCAAGCCATTTAGAATCCGTGTATTTAATCTGAATATCCCCAAAACATCTCTTGTACTCAAAATAGAGAACATGTCTCCACCTCTAACTGTACTAGCAATTTAAAGTCTATAGTTCTAAATCTACATTAAATTCTTGGACCCAAACTAAATGAGTAGCCACATTAGATTTTCCCTTTCCTTTCTTGATGAACTGTAAGTGATCTCATAATTTCCTTGTTATCCTACCTGTGTACTAGACACTCTGCCAGTTACAACAAACACAAAATACAACTGACGAGTTGTTTTATGGGAAAATACTTGGATACAACTTTTCTTGAATCTACCAAAAACAGAAAACTGCAACATCTTGACACATTTCAATATCCCCATTGTATTCAGGCAAGTGGTAGTTGTTTTTTTTTTTTACTATTAAAAAGAATGGAGACAGATATAAGCCCAAGGTGGGTGTCTTTCTACTCAAAAATACTTTCAGAGACCAATATATGTCCACAACAACAACAACTGATTGATAGCTAGCTCTTTGATTGTCTACTATAGCTACCTTTGTTATTAATTGGGCTCTTTTGCCTTTTTTGCTGCATCATTTGAAAAAAAAATAAGTGCAAGAGCACCTAGACCACCTCATATTAAAATCACTAAAATGTAGGTATACACTGGTTAGGCCTATTCTCTCTGAATAAAATGATCCTGCGGCTGGGAAACTTTACACTGCGGTGTCATCTGCAGTCTCTTATTTCATGCAGTTAAGCACCTGTCTGTACTCTTTGTCTCTAGTACATTTCAGAGAATTCTCCCTAATTAAAAATGTGCTGCTGCTTGTCAATCTTACACTGCTGTGACCTCTGCAGTCTCTTAATCCGTGTAGTAAAACATTTGCTTTTATTCTCTGTCTCTAGTACATTTCAGACAAATCTCGCTCATTAAAATGGCCTGCCGCTGCTGGCCAATTTTACACTGCTGTATCCTTTGTGGTATCTTCATTCTTTTAGTAAAGCCCCAGCCTGTGTTCAATGTCTCTAGTAAGCTGGGCATAGCCTTGCTATTTAAACTTATCCTGCTGCTGGCCAATTTTACACTGCTGTGTCATACAGTATTCAGTTGCTTAATTCTTGCAGAAAAACACCTGCCCGCACTCTTTTTCTCCCTCTATGTTGTGGAAGGGGCGAGGCACCCTATAACCATGTTTTTTCCCCCTGCAGCTAAGCCCCCAGGGTCCTGACTATAATTAAATAAATATATTTAAAAACTGGTTGCTGGCTGCCAGGGAGGGGAAAAATGATGCTGAAAAAGCAGAGGAATTGCAGATGTGTCTGGCCTCTGCTGTGTGTAGACCAACCACTGCAGCAATATAAAAAATAAATAAAAATATGAATAAGAAGAAAAACATTATACAAATGAAAAATATAAAAGTAAACACAAAAGAAAAAAATTGTGGCTGAGAATCTGCCAGTCTGGGACAGCCAAAGCCAGAAAATGTCCACTAGATTAAATGGAGGGATTGCTGCACAAAGAGTTTGGACAAAGTAGGGCATGCACTGCTGGACCTTGGGGGTGGTTATAGTGTAGCCTCTTTTCGAGGCTCCAGATGGCAGCTGCTGCCTGCTTTACACTTTAACATCTGCTCCCTCTTCTAGCACACCATTGCTCTCCCACATCTGGCACATCATCTTTGTAGTGCTTACTGGGACCCAGTTACTAATGCCCTCCTGTGACCCAAAAGCACAGTGCTCTGCTGCAGCCAGGATAGATCTCGACAATATTGTTGGGATCCACCCCACTTTCTGATTGACAGCTGGCTCTGCCTCTCTAGAAGGAGGGGATCATGAACTGAGAGATCGGCGTTCTGTGATCACTCAGTTCTCAATCTATAGAGCCAACGTGGAAAGCTTCAGTGTCACATGCCGACTCTAACTATAGGGGGTGAGTGTATTTCACTCATCCCATCCTTTAAAATATAGATTTGCATGGCTTCACATACAACCAGGCAGAAATTGAACGCCCAAACAATTCTATCTTTTCCAAGTTTAGAGCGTTTCAAGTGGGCTGATGGGTTATCAACAGATATAGAGAGATAGATAGAAAGATAGATAGACGAACATTGTAGAGAGATCAAAGTGGGATAGAAAACCAAAGCAGAGCTGCATATAGCTATAATATTTGCTGCAATCTCTGCTTGTGGCCTGTCAGAAATGATGTGCACAAACAATTCCGCTGGATCCAGTCATAGCCAATTTCAAGGGTTCTGACAGGGTTAGTGGAGTAGGAGGAGGAATAGGGTGCATCAGCATTTTCAGCTTCTCTCTGACAAAAAAATGACAGTATTTTGAGGCTACTACTTCTGACAATCAAATCACCTGCAAAAAAAAGTATTTTTTACCTGATATCAATCAAATGGAAGTAGATTGGGGCGCTGCTGCTGCCTGTAATTTCTCAGCCAAAAATATGCTGCTAAAGTACACAGTGACCAAAATGTCTTTTAAAACCATGTGAATTCCGTAATACAACCTAGTGCCCAGTTTCCTTTTTTTGCACAATAGGTTTCTATTAGCCTTGAAAAATGTCAGAATTTACCATTAAGATTGGGATACTGGGATTTGCTGCTAAGTTCTGGTTTCACGAATTTCAAACAGTATTCGATGAAACCCCCTGCAAATTGAACGCAGGTTGATTGGTCCATTCCCAGGTTTCAAACACATATGGCAGTCAGTGTCATAAGATAATAGGAATAAACTGTCAATTAATGCTTCCTTACCCGTTTATGTCCTGTGCCTGATCCATAGTTTCCGGTAGAGGTTTACCAAAAGTTTCTGGGAAGAGCAATACTATCAGTCCCATGATTACAGTCAACGTCCCCATCAGAATGTAAGGCAGCAGCCTGTTATAAGCACCTGGTTAAGAAACAAGAAATGAGCAACAGTCTTTTGTGACCTTAAATAATTGTTTTTGCAAAATTAGATCTGAACTCTTTAAATTGGATACTAGGAGTGTAAATATCAGATTTACAACTGCACTTCCAAACGTTTAAGGGCTTGCCCACACCAAGTACGGACCATGTCCAGACCAGGACAGTTTGTTCCTGGACCAAGAAAGGATCCCAATGTATCCCTATGGAATTTCTGGGATCTGTTCACACCAGTGCAGTCCGTTCCGATGAAGACAAAAAATGCACTGCGTTCGCAGATCTGCTCCAGATCTGGTCCTGACATGGTGTGAACAAAGCCTTAAATGGTTATTGTCCCGAGATCACTGCCCCTTCCCAGGACTCATTTTGGAATAAATATTGTCTCTGGATTCTGGAGTCTGTCACTATCTCCCTTCACTGAGTGTAGAAAGAGCTATGCTACCAAGTCCCTCAACAGCTTTTCTCCTAACCTATTTCTTTCCTCCTCTCTCTACCCCAACCACCGTTCTCTCTCCCTTCTCAATCATCTTCTTCTCTTATCCCTCCCCACCCAGAGACCAGGACTGTGGATTCAGCAAGTATGCATTAAAGGGCAATTCCACTTTCCCAGATGAATTTTGAAAATGGAATTGAGTGCAAAATTCAAAATCCAGACATTTTTTTACAATAATACATTTTTCAACTATTCATGGTAAAAAAAGATCCTGAGTTGGCATTGTGCGTATTACTCAACACTGTGTGACAACTAAGAATAGACTAAAATTTGGAGAAAATTGAATGTTTGTGTGACTCAGATTACCCAGCCAACAGTTTTTATCTTCTCTGCAACTGGAATATGATTGACTACTGTGGATAATATAAACTTTTTCACTTTTATTCCCTTGACTTTTTAAAAATCTGTCTCATCATGACTTATGTAGTGGGGAGATCAATGTCGGCATAAGATAGGCTATTCTCAAAACAAGCAGGTTGTACACATGGTGGAGCAGCTCCTCTGAACCACATTCAGGGGTAACTTCAAATCTGAAAGTGTAAGTAGGGAGAGGAGCCCTTCTAAGTGTGCACCATGTGCAAACATCTCACTGGCAATTAAAAAACATGCTCAGTTGGAAATGAGAAAACATTATGATCTTTTGCAATGTGGAGGAACATATGTAAGAACTACGTTGTATACTAGACAGTGATGACCTCATAATGATCCTCAATAATCAACACTTATTATGATATCTTACTTTGACTAGCAACAGCATGGCATTTGATGTGTGTGAAGAAAGAGTGGTTCCCTTATCCAACACAAAAAGGAAGGCACAAAAGTTAAACACTAAAGATTTAATACCGTCCTGAAGAATGCATGGAGTTGCTCGTGCCACATCTCATTCGTGCTAGTAAAAATCATACCATATACAGTCAGCCTAATTCTAGAAAAAGCTTTTTCTATGTGTAGGAGAAATCAAAGATGAAGCATTTGGCTCATTAAAGAACTCACCAAGGTAAACAAAGTAAGGAGAAATGACACTTCCCACTCTAGAAGACATAGAACCAATTCCCACACCCATATTCCTTATTACGGTGGGGTAAAGTTCAGCTGTGTAGACATAAGCCATGGAAAAAGCTGCCGTAACTCCAAATTTTCCTACCATCACCATAATAGTGGATAAGATGTGAAGATCTAGGAAAAGTAAATAGTATTACTAAAAAATGCACTGTAAAAGAAATGTTCAAACAGGTGTTATATTTTATCATTTATGTATTAGAATGCATGAACCTGTAGCTTTTAAAAGAAAACAAAATCCTACCTATAGGTACCAGTTGAATAAGAAGCAACACAACTCCACCAAGGAGCATTGTCCCACACATGGAATATCGTCTAGGTACAACTCGAAGCAGCTGCCATGCTATTATGTATGATGGAACTTCAATGGCAGCCAGAAGGAAGCAGTTAAGATATGGATCCCCATTTAAATTTGGGGTGTTTAGTGAAATACCAAAATACCCAATGGATACAGTCAACCTGTAAAAAAAAAAAAAAGGGATTTGTTCAGATTTTGACAAGAAACGCAGCATGCGATATTGTAAGGTCCAGTAGGTTTGAGTACAAGACTAGTGCAGGCATATATATGTGTGCATACTGTGGAGCATGGCCCTGTGCATAGGGTCTCTATCAGGCATGTATTAGCATGCAGGCGCTCAACCGTGCGTGCACACTCAGCACTGGTGATGGCACCAAAAAGCCTTTATAAACTGGCATGTGACATTTTACTTTGCTTTGCATATTGCTGAGTGGTCTTCCGCTAGTTCCTGATAACTTGCAATGCAACCTGCTGCTTCAGCCTTCATGTGTATGACCCGGCTTGTCCTCTGTACCACTTGCCACCACTGTACCAATGTGCCTCCTCTCTTAGGAAGCTGTCTCCTAGACAACAGGGGAAGATTTCTCTATATTCATTTTCTGGTGACAATTGAAAATCCTGGATTTCCCTCCCTTTCAGTTCCAGTGATAGTGGTCACCAGTACAAACGATGACACTGAATATCCCCAGTGGGTAAACAAAGATCAATAAAAACCTGATGGAGGCTCTAACCTTCTATACTCTATCCAAACAATTATTTCCAACACTTTCAAAACTAACTAATGTGAACCATAGTACTGACTTGTGTGTGCTAAGAAATTATTAAAAAAATATTGTAATCAACATGTCCTTTGAACTTACCAAAATAAGATAGTAAGGATAGTGATTATTCGTATGTTGGATGTTTTAATTAGATCCAGAATGGTGTGACGTTTGTTTTGCCGTTGTTTAATATCATCCAGCTATTTGGGAAGAAAAAAATTAAGATTATATATACTCAATTAGCTCTAGCAAAATTAGTACTGTCAATAACTTCAAGATTTAAATATATAACAGGACAAGTACCATCAGATATTGCCTCTAGAGATAATTTAGTGCAATTACATTTCTTACACAGAGTTTATTTTACTCCCTATAGATTATTTTGAATGGGTAAACAAGCCTCATGTTTATGTCCTCACTTTATTGCAGGCCTGTGGTCTGTGGCACTTTTTTGGGGAATGACCTATTAAAAGATCTTACTGGACATGTATAACTGAACTTATAGGAGGTAAACTGGGTTCCCCCGACATCTGTAGTCCATTATGGTGTATATTTTGTCACTGGGAAGATCTGAACATTTCATCGTCATTAAAGACTTTGATTATTCTTTTGTTATTGTATGCTAAATAACTGCTTGCAATACCCTGGATGAGGGACACTCATGGAGTGGAAGCTTTGGTTAATCAGATGGTACCTTTGGATAAACTTACTATAAGGCTAGAGGGTGCCCCCATAATTTTGAAGCAATATGGTCTAGAAGGGTTGATATCCAGGATACGGTTGAGACCAATGTGCTATTTTTTAATCTATATTTCTGCTTTAATGCCTTTTGTCAATTCCATTGTATTGGCAATGAAGTCATATATGTTTCTTTGTTTGTAATATTGTTATACCCCTTTGCTGTTTTTTGTATATTTATTTTATTTTTTTTTGTCTAGTTACTACTGTTGATGTGTTGACTGCATAAAAAAAGCTTAAATAAACCGTCTTAAAAAATATGAGGGGACAGAATCACATTCAGCCACATTGGTGAATATCATTCCAGTATTTATCAATGTTCAGTGCATTTGAATGCAGCCAATAAGTAGCAAAACAGGAGCCAACTCTTCATTGCTTTATTACAATGTAAAATGCAGTATAATGACCAAATCTTTTTGGCACCTTTACAATATTTTATAGATATTTACATTCTACATTATGATAATGCTCAGAAAATACACCTACTCACATACATGAAACATTGTAAAGACATTTACATTTTTAATGTGGTTTAATCACAATTGTGTGTTTTATTTTTTTTATAGGACAATCAGTCTGATGTATTCAGCAGCATACTGCATGCTTACAGTGGCATTAATCAAATGTGACAATAATGATTAATTCTTCAAAGATAAAAGTTTCAGGTATGTTTATTATGGCTGGATACTTTTTTTTTCAGCTGAGCTGTGTTATAGACACAATTTTGGGGGATTTTGTTGTGGAAAAGGTTTCTTGCCCCATTTTGCCTTTGAGATTTTAGCATGTAAGGCAAAAAAAATTCACTAGTGTGGTTACCTTGATTTCACCTTGATAAAGGGGGGCTGTGTGTCCCTGAAATGCTGTGCAAGTCCTGAATATGCTCAATCAACCCTGTAGCTGTATCTATGTTTGATCCCAGTGTTAAACTTCAGTTGGTGGAAAAATGTAAATATTTAGGGATTAGGGTTAGGCTATCTTTACTAAAGTTTATATCCTGTGCTTCAAAAATGCAAGTCATTTTGGGGGTTATATGATTCATAAACAAAAGTAAAAGAAACATGTTTTTCCATGTTTTGGTCTTTTTTACTTTATATAGTAAACAATAAAAAAATCAGCTATTAAATATCACTAGAAGAAAGCTTTATCTGTCTCAAAAAAAGATAAAAAGAATTTGGATAAAGTGTTGCCAGACAGAGGAATTCTCAGCCAAATTTGCACAGCACTGTAAACTAAAAAAAATTATCTGGTAATGAAGGGGGTGTAACATGCCGGTACTGAAGTGGTTAAACAAGTGATTAAACTTCCCAGTGGGTCATTTGGTATATGTACACCGGTGGCTGACTGGAAATTAATCATAACAAGCGTCCAGGAGGCAGCACGGTGGGATTCATTTTAAGTATTACAAATATTCTCCATAGAGGCCCTATTGCTCCAAGCTGCTCTTGCCTCTCATGAAAGCAGCCCTTGTGGGTCAATGCTTGAAGTTTGGATCCAGCAATTGGTTGATAATACTCAATAATACCCAATATACTCTCAACTTTGAAGGAATCTAAAATGTTTTACACATTTTACTGATTTCAACATCTGAGGTTATGGGCAAATAAATGAATCCACGTTTTACTGCACATTGTGGAAACTACTCATGCCTCATCTTTGACAATCTTAAAGTGTATTTCCCCTTTTGCAGCCAATTTGGGATAACATCTCTTTTATATTTTTTACATGTTCCCATTCAAATAGCATAAGCTAAAAAATAATGATAACATGCTTTTTGCAGTTTAAATTGCTTTTTACTTGTGTTGGGGTTTCTTGTTTCTTAAGGGTTAAAATGTCTACTTGCTTCTTCTTTGTAATGTTTGGGGAGTTGTGAGGGGTTAAAGGATTAATTTGTTAATTAAGTTAATGAGAGAAACACAATCCTCAAATTTCAGTCCTAAGTCTTTCTATAAGGACAGAAAACTGTGAAGGTGCTCAGAAAAACTTGGATTCAACCATGTTGCCTGCTGCAACAATACATTTAAAAAGGTAGGAAATATATTAAAATATATATTTTAGGTATGCTGTGTGAATAAGAATATCAGATTTGACTGCAAACGTGGAATTACACTTTAAGGCCAAATATAAAGTCCCCAACAGTTTTGTATATCTCCAACTTACCTAAGCCTGACTCTTCCTAGTGTCATGAGTTTGCTGTGTCATCTCTTTGATGTACTTTAGGTATATTCACAAAGTGGCCTGGAGAGAAGGGTGCAAGGTGTGGGAGCTAGGGTACATGAGGATTGAGTGTGGACTTTTTTTTCTTTCGTGCTTGTCTATGTACTACAAGTATGTCTTGTAATACAAGTGTTGTGTGATTTTGTTTGCTTGTAATTGTAATCTAATAACAAAGACAACTTGGAAAACAATAACAAGACCAGTAATCATACAGAACAATAGCAGATCCAGCTCAGTTTTAATTTACATATAAATCACATAAAAATGCTTTCCATTATCTTTTATTTAGCTCTCCTGTATCTGATCTGGAAGCATTAATTATATCTAAATCATTAAAGGAGAACTATGAGGTGAGTGAAAATCACTCATCCTCACAGTTCAAGCTTTGCATGTGGACTTGGATCTACCTTTATTCCTATAGGTTTTGTTTTACTAGATAAAGGGTTAATGGAATGTGCTAAATTTCACAGGCAAAGTTTGGAATGTGATGAAGGTCATCCTGATGTGCTTAAAGGAGAACTATGAGGCGAGTGGAAATCACTCAGCCTCATAGTTCTAGCCGACTTGTGACAATGAAACTGACACAGGTCGGCTCAATAGATCATCTCCCTGCAGAGAACTGTCACTCATGGCTCCTTGCAGGGATTCCCCCCCCCCTCCCCACTCCGATCCTCCAGCGCTGACTGGAGGAACGGACAGGGGAGGGGTGGGCACAGCCAACTAGGCACAGCCAGCTGTCACTCACGAAGCTGGGTGGATCTCGACAGTAATGTTGGGACCCGTCCCGGCAGTGGCGTTTCCCAGTATACCGCGAGCTGTAGATACTGAGCTTTGGGTCACGGGAGGATGCTAGTATATGTCCTCCCGTGACCCTAAGAGAACTATGGGGAAAAACACTTACCCCATAGTTCTGTTTTAATTCATTAATTGGCTTATTAACACCTCTGCACTATGTAAGTGGAAAACACAAGATAGAAAGTTATGAATGAACCCAAAGATCTCTTAACAATGTTTTGTCTACTACTTCTGGAAGAAATTTCCTTATTAAAGGGTTTTTGGAGACAACTATAGTGCATAGGATTTATGACTAATTTGACTATACACAAAGTTAGGCTTCATGCAGTGGCGTAACCAGAGTTACGGTCACCCGGGGCAGAACAAAATTTAGTGCCCCCCCCAATCAACCCCACTATTTGGACGGCCACTATTTGCAGGCCGTCTTTAATATTAATTGGGACCTCTGAAAGATTTTGCTGATTGGCCCCTACAACCCTTCCACACCGCTTCCCAACCCAGACCCCTGGAAAGAAACTAAGGAAATAAAATAATTATATATATATATTAGATATGCACCGATATATCAGCCAATGAAACATATCGGCTGAAACATATCGGCCAAAAATGGCACTTTTGGCAAAATGCCGAGTGCCATTCTCCTCCCCGTTGGGCGCTGCTCTGTGTCCCAGTTGGGTGGAGAGAAAATGTCACAGGTGGCCGAGAACACTCAGTATAGATGATTCCTGTTCATTTATAACAGGGGCTGCAGAAAAAGAGATTGAGTACTCTGTGTCCTCAATCTCTTTTTCTATTTTAAAAGGGAAATATCGGGTGTGTTTAGACTCCTAATATTTCCCCGAAGCCCCTAAAAGTAAAGTAAAAAAACCGCCCCCTCCCCCGTCCGTTCCGCCAGTCAGCGCTGGCGGATCGGAGCGGGGAATCCAGCCCCTCCCCTGTCACGGTGGAGAGCCATGACAGGATAGAGAGGTGAGCAAACGCCGGTATGTATTCGCTCACCTCCCGATCTACTGAGTCGACCTGTGACAGTGTCATTGTCACAGGTCGGCTAGAAAAGCACTCACCTCATAGTTCTTTAGTAATATTTTCTGCTGTCCTGATCCAGACATCTTCATGCATTCACTTAGGGAGCTGGCGTGGTTTTTTTTTCCAGTGCATATTTCTACAGGCAACCACTTTATGAGCAAAATCACAAATTTTAGCCCTCTGCACAGCGGAGTGGAAGCATGTTATCTCCTACATTTTCAGCATGAAGATCTCTGGACTGGTGGCACAGAGGCCAGTGTAATAAATGTAAATATACTTACCTCCCTCCCGTACAGAGACTTTACAGCCTGGAATTCCTTTCAATCATTGGAATGCAAGCACCGGCGCGCTTCACGTAGGGCCACGGAGAACACAAACAATGTACTGTCGAGGCGAGCAGTGTAAGACTGCTCTCTGATGGAGTTCTGAGCACAGGGAAAAGTTCAGTCATCACTTCCCTTCCCCTGCGTGCTGCAGTGTGACAGACATCACAGGTGAATCGTGTTTCCTGCCCGGTCGGCTGGCGCCCCCCCCCCCAGCCCTGCGCCCGGTGCTCACACACCGTCGCCCCCCCCCGGTTGTTACGCCACTGGCCTCATGCACTCGGGTTTATACATTTATGCAAAATCTTGCTGGCAGAAAATGATCCAACAAACGCATCACAACTCATTTGGACATACACGCACTTATATCCATATGAGTTTAAATGCATAATAAGTCATTAATTCAGAATGATTGAATGCTAAGGTTATTCCTTCTCTGCGCAACCTCCACTGCCTACACATTGTTGCTGTTTACATCCCCATCCGGCCCTGAAGCAGGTGCACAGGCCCAGAATGACCTCAGCCTTCAGTCATTCGTTACTGACCAAAACACAGCTGTGTGAATGGACCCATAACATACAATACTGTTGCATTCAGATCCATATAAAATTATACACAGTACAGGTCTGAACGCAGCATATTATGCACCTGTGTGCGTGAGCCCTTAGTTTTTTGGAACAGATCCATCGTAATGAATAGTTTCAATGCAAAGACACCAGACAGGATGAGAGTAGTACACATTTTACCTCAGTGTCTTTAAATATTACAGCTGGTGCTGGAATCTTATTTCGCTTTGCTGCTTTCCTTATTATGGCCTCTGCTTCTTCTATTCTTCCTTGAGAGATCAACCATTGTGGAGATTCAGGAATAATCCTGCAAGAGACATATTTTTCAGATATTTTGGTCTGTTACTCAGTGGCACAGAAATGCAGCCTTCCCTTCCAATGTCAGTGGGTTTTATTTTTTTCTAGATGGTATTGGTCTATTCCAGTAGATAAAAGTATAAAAATACATTAGCATATAACACAATCTAACCCATTGTCATCTTGTGTATCTGGTCAGAGGTAATATATTTCTGTGGTAGGATTCTCCTAACCAGACATTGCAACAAACATGCCTTACTGACTTGGTTCAGTGTTAAAGAAGCTGGAAGAGGAATTCTTTCACTTTCATTTGATCATTAGAATCCTGCTGCACAAGTAACACAACAGAGTGGAGGGGAAACATTGCATCTCATTTGTCTCTGTGCCCTCATTATTAATTTATGATGGGTCGTAAAGGAGGGAATGTGTGCACTTGCATTGTCATGTATGATTAATTCTGGTGAGGCCTTTTTCTTTGAGGCAGCGCCCCTAGCAATGACAGAAAAAATGTTTTTGCTCCCAAATATGTTAAATATGCTTCTCGTCACAAAATGGACCGCAAAACATAAATTACAAGACACCATATAAATAACCATTTAAAATAATTCAACAATAAATATTTGTACAAGCAATTGTAGTAGAGGCAAAATACTTAAAGCCTAACTCCAGGAGATTTTTTTTCTTTTTTCACATAGTGGAGAAGAGTTCAAATTTCTCAGGTTTTTATTTCTGTGACCCGATTGGCCATAATTTCCCACACAACCTGTCCTTGTCAGTGCTGTCAATGCATAAAAGAGTGGGCAGTACTAGCTGTGGCCAGGTGCTGATTAACAAGGTGATTGACTTATAAATCAGCAGTCACAATGATAGCCACGCCCCCTGCAACTTCTACTCATTCCACTGAAGTGTGAGCAGGCACAGCCTACATGAAGGCAGCAATTTTACTCTGAATTTAAAAGCAGTTCTGCATTGTTGCCACACCATCACAGGAAGCAATATTAGGTGGACTTCAATGGCAGACTCAACAGGTATTTGTGGGACTTGGCAGGGGCACTAACAGAAAACTGTTAGTACAGATACACTTATAATTAAGTTATTATAATTATATTTTTTAATGGAAAACAAAGACTAATCAGTGAACTCACCACCATAGAGGAATGCATAGGAGCCCAGGCACTGTCAGAGCCATCAGTAGTGTCCTCCAGTCTCGGAGGAAATATGCAAATAGAGGCAGGATCATGTAGCCAATTGCAAAAAAGATACAAATTCCTAATGTTGAGAAGATAATTCTGGCAGATTTGCCAAGGATTTCAGAACCTGTAAGAATAGGGACATCATTAAATTATAGAATTTAATTTCACCTGAATCAATAAAAAAAGTGAAAAACCAAAACGGTAATGGAGTGGCAAAAAAGTTTAACAAAGTTTATTATTCTATCACAGCATGCATCAAAAACACCTGTGCAAAAAAACCTATAGAACCCTAAATACAAACAGAGATGAATTGATGGAAAAGAAGCACACACCTGATGAGGCATATGGATACACCAGATTAGTGACCCGATCTGGATGTCACTAGACAAAACTCTTAAATAAAGAGTTGGAAAAATATTAGTATGTCCTTACAATGATTTCACAAGTGGTCAAAATCATCCCTTAATGGTGGCATGTGAAGAATACAGTAATCATTTAGTTTGCAGTGCATCTGTGGGCACTAGAAGTTGGTAGGCTAAGACAAAAACATTGGATATAGTTAATTGTGGGACCTGTGCTATCTGCAGCAAATACATAGAAAATATATAAAAATATTTATAAACTTTGATGGTACAAACATTTTCCACATACGATCTTAGTTGCAGAACATGATTTACCAAATGTGCTACCCCTGTGGTAAATACTACAAACACAGTTTGAATTATGCATACAAATAGGGGGGCACATTCAAGACATCATCATCCAGAAGCACACCAGTCCTATTGCTCAACAGTTTTTGTTTCATGTCTCTAGTGCTGAAGGTTTAAGAGTAAAGGGAATCTATCATCAAAAATTGCCAATTTTAATTTAGCTTTCGATAAAATGAGGAGGGGATAGTGCCTCTACCATATTCTTATTGATGTCCATGACCCCAATCGAGAGATTTCCCCTCATTTCCTGTCTCAGTCACCACACAGGAAGTGAAAATAAATCTTCCGAGGTGGAACCGGGGCAGGCCAAAAACCAAGCCAGTATTCTAACCATTTCTTACCAAAAATGAAAAGCATTACTGTACATACAGTATCTCACAGAAGTGATTACACCCCTCACGTTTTTGTAAATATTTTATTATATCATTTCATGTGACGACACTGAAGAAATGACACTTTGCTACAATGTAAAGTAGTGAGTATACAGCTTGTATATCAGTGTACATTTGCTGTCCCCTCAAAATAACTGAACACACAGCCATTAATGTCTGAACCGCTGGCAACAAAAGTGAGTGTATATGTCCACCATGTTTGAAAATCGACATAATTCTTTATCACCATCCACTACAGATCTTCAATGGTGTTACTTAAATATTTGTGCAGGTAGATTTGGAGATGACTGCAAGGTAGAAAACATTGTGCAATTCAACTGTAAAACACGAAAGGGCGTATATATGAAAATGGGCAAATAAGAACATTTTGCCTATAGCAAGCAATCGGAATTTTTAAAAATGTCCAACCCTACACTGCAGAAATAACAGTTGGAAGCTGATTGGTTGCTATGTCTATGGTCTTTATAAGACAGATTACACATGCTATAGCTTGCTTTGAATACTACTACTGTGTGACTGGACTGTCAAATGCTCAGGCAAATATATACGGTATATCACGTATAAAAGAACACATATGTTGTACATGTTGCAAATTACACTGCTTTAAATAAATAGTAACGGCTATCTTTAGGAACACCTAATGGTTGTGTTCGTTATAATAAAGCTGCTTAACAGCTACAACTTTGTATTAGGCAGTTTTGCTTATGGACATGGTGACACAGCACAATTCTAATGTCTGTGAAAAGCTTTAGCACAAAATAGCATTCTATGCTTACTGGAATGTTGTGTGAATGATTTTATTGACTTTACTACAGAATACGAAACCACACAATATGAAACGATAGTACATGATCATGCATCCATGTCTGCTTGAAACAACATTAACCCTTTATAAGGAAACGCAAATGCATGATTTTTTTACATTATTAAAATGTAATTTTTTTTCTTGCTGGATAGGTACGTCTGGGACCAGCGTTCACTGCTTTGTAGGTCAGGCAATTTCTTTTTAATAGTGGTCTGTGGCATGCTTTCTTTAGCTCCCAGGTCTCTGCAATGTTGTAAATGGCACATTTCCTGAAGCACTCAGTTTTAAAGTGTATTTCAACTATTGCAGGCAAATTGGGATAACACCTACTTTATATTTATTTTTCTCATAACAATGTTCTCATTCACATAGCATTACATAAAACATTTATAAAAAATTGCTTCTGATTTATACATGTTTTTTATTTGCTTAAAAAGGGGTTTGTGGGAAATTATATTCACTCAAATAAACCTTGTCTGTATTGTGCTGGCAGATTTCATTATCACTTGTAAATTAGATGTAAACACTTTGTGCCCTAACAAAGGGTTAAATACATACAGTAGTAGCATTGTGTGTTAATGAAAAGAAGCTCAGTCTGCCTCTGGTTTTTTCCTCTTTCACCTTCAAACGGCTCAGAGTAGCTTGGAATTTGCATAAAGGCCTTCACCAAATAAAATGTAATATATATTTTAAAAATTATTTTTCGCTATGCTATGCCAATGGAAACACATATCAAAAATAAAAGAGGTTTTAAAAAAAATAAGACTGCAAAACTGGAATATTTCCACTTTTGCAGCCAAATAGGAATAACCTCAGTCTTATATTTGTTACATGTGCTCATTCACAATGCCTAACTTAAAAAACAAATGCTGATTTCATATTTTATGCTTGAAATGTTGTTCTCTGTACTGAGCTTTGCTTGGGCAGGATGGGCTGGGCAGGTTAATGTTACTATAAGTAACCCTGTTTGTACTGTGTTGGCAGATTTTATCAGTTGTAACCCAAAATGAACACGGACTGCCCTAACAAAGGGTAAAAGATCTTGAAGCACTGTACTGTATATTAATTCGGGAAGCTTAGTCTGTCCCTGTTTTCTCCATGAGGACAGAGTTTCCTGTCACTTGGAAATTGAGAGAGTAGAATACAAATATTTTGTACACAGACGCATCTAAAAGGTAAGAAATATATATATATATATATATTTTTTTTTAGATATGCTGTATGAAAAGGAACACATACCAAACATATATTGGGGTTTTCTGAAATTTTACTGCAAAAGTGGAAGGACACTTTAAAGTAACCATTTATTATTTTCACTGGAGTGCAAGTTACACACATGCGTTTTTCTTGTCGGTATTCTTTGCACATTGCATCACATTGATTCACAGTTAATATTTAGTGCATTTGATTTTTCATTATGGATATTTTGTAGCAATTACTTTTACACTAAGGTGCATGTTATATACATGCGTTTCTTTTTTGTTTTGCACTTTTTACACATTGTATCACATTACTCCAAGGTCAGCATCTACTATATCTGACACTTTGCGGTCTCATTCACACAGCGCGGCTTTTACCATTAATTTCATACGTTATATCTGACCACACAGATTTCAGCTGCTGCTTAACTTGATTAGAGTAGTGGCGCGAGGTTTCACATCATTCAATTTAAAGTATTCATCTGCCTGAAAGCTGTCTGAATTACGTACATCTCATAAATATATAGCCAAACAGTGGTTAAGTAACTGATATAATATCATTACACAGTAACATGGTCATGTGTAAATTACTTTGAAAGCATTTTCTGTTTAATTTGACATGATGCTCTCTACTTATCTGATTAAAGTAGAGAACAATTTGGGGAATTTGCTCTAGGTTAGCACACCAAGAATGTAATACATTTCTATTTAGAAAGTCACAAAATCATAACCAGTATAATCAGTATAACCCAACTGCAGCTAAAACTTTTCTTTTTTTATTTATGGATATAGTGAGGAAGGTTTAGAACTTTTGTCAGGTTTTACTGTCATGTCCCCATAAAGGAAGTACAAAGGACATTTGGCTTCTCAGCCTTTTCTTTCTGACACCCATCACCTGAACATGAAGTGAGGCGACATCCCCTTCATCATAAGCACCTAGACAGCAATAAAATCCTTACAGAGGTAGGAATGTCAACCTTGGAGTGTATAGAGTGATAAGAAAGTGGTACTCGCTGCGGCAAAAAAATGGGTGTGATCAAACTGTTTAAGGGGCGTGGATAAAAACGGAACTTATAGTGAATAACAACAAATGCCAAGAATCAATTACAGAATAAAAGACCATGCTGTGTCCTCGAATTCATAATAACATATACTGAGAAATATAATCAGCATATAGAATAAGAAAAGTCATATTGTACAGAGTGCATTCATGCAGAATTAGAACGGATACTTATACCCAGCATATAGAACTAATATACTCTGTCACCCTCATGCATTGGTAGAATTTGATTTTTGAGTGTAAAGGTCCATTTGAAGTGCCTATCCTAACCTTAGCCTGCACTTTAACTATGGGTCCTATGAGGTGCCCCTCTATTTACTGCACATTAAATTTCCATATGTCACTGTGTCAGTCAGCTAAATGAGTATTGTGGAACTGTTCAACACCTGCTATAGTGAGTCTTAATTCTAGTGATAATATTCACAGTGTGGTGATAATTGATATATCTTACTGCAGTCCAGTCTTTACATAGTCAGGTACAGTAATGGTGCTCAGGGCACCTGACATGCTGCCTCAAGTGACACAAAGAAACTGAAGAGCTCATAAGTTATTTAGCTCCTGCATGGAGAAGCAGCATTTTCCACCCATTAGGCAAAACAATTTTCTCCCTCATTGAATCAAACACTGGTGCCCAACCTGCAACCTGTGGCCACATGGGGCCTTCAGGACATTTGAAAACAGTGTCTTTGTTTTTCCTACCTAGGTGTTTACTCAAGCCAGTGAAGGAAATATTCTTAAGACCGGTTTCTATAATGTTTTATTTATTTATTTCATTTTACCTTACTTTATTATACTGTCTAGCCCTTTTCTCTTTTATCAAATGCTGCAAAAGTCATTTTAAAGGGACTGCAATAGCAGCGATCTCTGGCAGTCTTTGTCTATGAGTGCCTCCTAAAGCCGGTTTTCGGTCTTCATCCAGGCCTTTAATAGGTCTGCGGTCTCTGAATGTCTCGCATTACATATACTTTACTTGGTGATGTCAAGGGCCACACTTGAGGCCCCCTAAAGAAAGCTGACCACCACTAGTATAAATGATTATTTTATTGCTCAGCTAGTAAATACATTGTTTCTGGCAGTATTCTGAGATGCTACAAATTTACATTGCTTATGACCTGGTTTGAACAGCACCCTAAACCAGAAACACTAATGTTCAGAATGGGACTGATAATGAATAAAAAGACTTGAAACCATTCCATACCTAGAATAAAAGCAGCCACATAGTTGGAAATCTGCCCCATGCCGACAATCAAGAAGAGAACCGCAAACATCTCCCAACTATTTGAAAACACTTGTATGATGCTAAAACCAGTCTGGACAGCCATTGTTGCAAAAAGGATCTTCTTTCTTCCAAAGCTATGAGAAAAAAAAATCAAAATGAGGAAATGCAATCAAAGCATAACAACTTGGTTTATAAAACTGTAGAAAACAAGGATGGTTTCATTTTGGTGGAGACCCTCCCTCTTAAAATGTATAACATCTAATCGCTATATGTTTCTTTGATTACTTTGAAAAGTTACTGTATGACTATTTGTTGTAAACTCGCTATATACTTTTCAATACAATCTTATTGCTAAAAAAAACCAAAACTGTAGAAATCTTTCTGTGCTGGTGACAGATGTCACTAGGACAGGAAGTGTATGTAGTTGTCACAAATATATATATCTATATAGATATGTATCTATATAGATATATATAAATTACAACTGCATATTACACTACTTAAAGCTAAAATTATTACCTGTCAGAGAGCTGTCCAGAAATAAATGAGCCTGTAAGAACACCAGCAAAAAACAAAGATGTTGTCAGTGGTCCTTTCCAATCATTGTCACAGACTATGTCCCACTGTAAAATAAAATAGAGAATTAATCAATTCAAACAAAGGCAGAAAATGATCATGAAAAACATAGCAAAATGGCAGGTAAGTAGAAATATTCATAACTATAACTCATGTTTTAACCCCTTCATGACTGAGGCCCTTTTTTCATTTTTTGCACCCATGTTATATTCCACATTTTAGGCCTGAAAATGACGTAAAACCCCCCAACATTATATATTTTCTGAATGCCAAGACCCTATAGAATAAAATGGTGGTAGTTGAACATTTTTATGTTGCGCAATATTAGCGCAACTCCTTATTAAACCCCAAAATTTAGTGACAAATTTAATTAAATGCCCCAAAACACAACAAATTACCCATTTTTAAATGAAATATAAAAGATGAGGTTACAACGAGTAAAACGATACCCAACATGCCCAGTTCACAGATTGCGTGTGACCGTGAAACGGCGAAAAACTGCAGTACCCCAAAAAGTCAATAAAAGACGCTTTAAAAGCCCCCACAAGTCATCAATTTAAAGATACCCCAAAATACTGGCCCTAGAATTATTGCTCTCACTCCGGCGTGCGCGGCGATACCCAACATGTGTAGCGCGTTCGTCGTTTTCATGCGTAGGCGCACCC